TTCAATGATTTTGATTCCATCCTGGATTTCATGAGAAGCTACAAAAATAACAGCAAAATTATTTTGTGCACATTGTTATAGAACATACTGGTTGATCAGTAGAGTTATCATCATGATCATCATCACTCTAAAACAAAAAAAACAACTTATCTCATACTTGAAGAGACAATATAACAGCTCTATAGAAACAGGGTAGTAGAAAAGGCTGAAAATATGGTGGCCAATGATAAGGAAATTAAAATATACAAAATATTTTAATTGGATCTGTAACTATTTAATATTCATTTTATGGTTGATACAGGTCATATTTTTAAAATGTAAGCAAATTAAATTATAGATAAAACTCACTGGACAGGTGCACTTTAAATGTTATGCATAAAATTTACCTGATCACTTTCAGACACATCATGAGGTCCAATTTCAGATGCATCATGAGGTTCAATTTCAGATGCATCATGAGGTCCAATTTTAGACACATCATGAGGTCCAGTTTCAGATGCATCATGAGGTCTAGTTTCAGATGCATCATGAGGTCCAGTTCTAGATGCATCATGAGGTCCAGTTTTAGACATATTATGAGGTCCAGTTTTAGATGCATCATGAGGTCCAATTTCAGACACATCATGAGGTCCAGTTTCATATGCATCATGAAGTCCAGTTTCAGACACATAATGAGGCTCAATTTCAGATGCATCAAGAGGTCCAATTTCAGTGGTGATTGGGTTATATGCTTTTGGAGACTAAACAATCAAATCCATAAGGTCATGATGATAGTGAATATGTAATAGTTATAACTTACTAGACTTACATGTACTTCATCATTGGATAATTTTTTTTTCTTTATACGATAACATAAGAATACCAAAATACATGTAAAAATTATTAGTACTAGAATAGCAAAAATGCCACCAATAATAGCTCCAGCAAGAACTGTGTAATGAATAAATTGTTTAGTTAGAATGTTAATTGTAACCTGGCATAGATACTTTTGAAGATGATTGTGTATCACTGATAGTAACAGTAGTAGTAGTTTCTATAAATAATACATTACATTACATTATGCTGCATGATAGATCTAGACTTACCAAATGTTAATAAAAATGGTTCACTTCTACCAATAGCATTACTAAATACAATTATAACTGAGCAGCTAGATTTATCATGTGGCATTGGTACTGATCCTGTTACATTATTTTGATAATTCACTATAAGATATATGTTATGAAATATAACAGTTTCATTACACTGTATAGTAACAGTAGCGTTCTCAGGAGCTTCACCAGTACACTCAACTATAATCTGTGACAATATGTCAAACACAAAATGTATGCATCTCTTACTGGTATGTTGAAATGGAAAATGACAGTGTTTTGAAAGTAGTTGCTAAAAGCCACAGTAGTATTCTTAACTGATGGAGGGACTATAAAAATTTCAATTGGTGATTGTTCAATATAAAACCAGTATAGTACCTCTTTGATATGAGAATGTATTATTATTAGATATTCCTTCTCCTAATTCATTAACTCCAGTTATAACATATGTATAACGATGAATAAACAAATTTTTATCCACAAACTGATAACTGGTATTATATACTGATACATTTGTTAATAATTGGCCAGTGATATTATCATGTATTTTCAGCACATAATGTGTTATTGCTAAATCATCACGATCTATTTTAGGAGCACTCCAAGAAACATTAATAGTAGAACAGTTGTCTATTGAAGACTCAATCCTAGTAACTGGTCCTATTTGATCTAATAGCACAACAAGAAGGACTATATTAAATAATGCACAACACATGCAGTTTCTTACCAAATCCAAAAGAAGGTGTAGGTAGGAATTCTCCTCCATTATTACTCAGTGATACATTAAC